TTTTTATGAATATATAAAATTAGATATTTGCCCAAATTTTTTTTCTATTTTTCTATTTTTGTTATTCTTTAAATTTTACATTCCATTTCCATCGTTATTAAAAACATTTCTTATTTATCATACTTATTATTGTTTAATATGTCAAATATATGATGTTAAAAATGTTCCCATTTTTTAAATTTCTATATTTTTTGCATTTTATTTATTTTGAATTTTATTATTTAATTGTGGCAACATGGATTGACCCATTTGACCTAAATCGGTTTAATTTCTTACCACCACCTAGGTGAAAACACTATTTTTTCAAGTAGATTTTAAAAGTATGTTTTTAGGGAAATTGTCTAAAACTCACCGTGAGTCTTAACGTTTCTCTTAAACTCACCACAACTTTTCAAAATGTCTAAAACTCACCATGTCAGTAAGGTTTTATTTTCCAAAGATCACCTTCCGTTAGTGCACCGTTAATGCTTCTTAACAGAGGTGTCCATGTCAGCATAAATAACAATTTTTATGATCAAATTACCCTTGAATGGTGAGTTAGAGGGAAAATGGTCTTTTTCAGTTTTCTTTTTTTTTTCATTTTTAGTGTTTTGTTATAATTTCTATTTTTTTTATATTTTTCTATTTTCTACAATCTATAAATTTTTGGTGTTTTTTCTACAATTTTATTTTCTAATTTTTTTTCAATTTCTATAGTTTCTATAATTCGAAAATATTTTTTTTTTATTTTGTTTACAATTTCTATAATTTTTATATTTTTTTTAATTTCTATGTTTTTATGTATTTGATATTTGAATTTTTTTGAACTTTTTCCTTTTTCATGTCTATATATTAAAATGGTAATATATTAACACCCATTAATTTATTTTGTATATATTTTATATTTTTCTATGAAGGTTAAAATGGTAATATATTAACGCCCGTTAGTCTGTTTAATGTCAAGTTAGTGACTTGGTGAATTTTAGACATTTTGAAAAGTTGTGGTGAATTTAAGAGAAATGCTGAAAACTCATTGTGAGTTTTAGACAATTTCCCATGTTTTTATGTTATTGGAATTATTAATTTATCATGCATGGATTTAATTAATAGAATTTAATGATGAGAAGTAACAAAATGCCTTAAATATATGATTCAATGAGGGTGAATGCAAATTAATATATTAATTGTTGGATTTAATGAGAGGAAATTGAATGCATTGAATATCTTATAATTGTCTCTTCTCGACTCATTTAATATCAATAATTGATTACTATTTTGCCCTCATTTTTATCAATAAATTTAAATATGTAAAGGTAAATTTTGTCTTAAAAAATCCAGAAATATTCCTAAGACTATTCATGCTTTTTAAAGTAGTATAGATATATATAACATTTGTATAGATACTTTGCATACATTTTTACATACATGCATAAATATATGTATATATATTTGCATAAATACATTTACATATGTATAATTTTAGAGTAGGTTCATTGACCAACCCGAACTCGGCCCAGGCCCGAGCCCAAACCTAAGTGCATCAAATTACAGTGCGGGTTGGGCTTGGGTTAGGAAAAGCGGGCTTGACCTCGGGCTTGGGCCGGGCCTGGGTTAACCATAAACCCAACCCAACCCACCCAACTTGCACCCCTAATGTATGTATGCATGTATGTATGTATGTATGTATGTATGCATGTATGTATGTATGTATGTATGTATGTATGTATGTATGTATGTATGTATGTATGTATGTATGTATGTATGTATGTATNGTATGTATGTATGTATGTATGTATGTATGTATGTATGTATGTATGTATGTATGTATGTATGTATGTATGTATGTATGTATGTATGTATGTATTAATTCGTTACGTAGTTATGACATCATAGATTGACCCATTTGACCCGGAATGTTAGTTCATTGGCCTACCTACCATGTAGATATGGAAATGGTTTCATTTTCAAACTAGTTTTAAATTTTGCATTTCATTTATATCATTGATAAAATAATTATTATTGATCATACTTATCTTTGTTTATATTATTAGTATATAATATTATAAATGTGCCCAAGATTGTTTCATATTTTTTTTGTACTATTCTATTTTAAAAATTTTATTTTTAATTATACATCATGGGTTAACCTACTTAACCTAAAAGGTTGAACCACTAACCCACCCCTAGATAAGAAGATGATTTAATTTCCCATCGGTTTTAAGTTGTATATTTGATGTCTATCATTAACAAAATTATGTCTATTTTAGCATAGTTATTTTTTAATATGACAAATATATAATAATAGAAATGTGTCTAATTTTTTTCAAATTTTTTTTCTATATTTTATTTTGTATTTCTTATATTTCTAAATTTGTATAATTTATTTATGACATCATGAAATTATCCATTTGACCCAAATGGTTGAAGTACTTACCCACGACCTAGATGGAAAATGTGATTTCATTTCTAGGTTTATTTTAAAAAATATAAAATTTTATTCTATTAATAATTATTGTGTATGGATTTATTAGTGGAATTTAATGATGATAAACAAAGGTATTTTTTATATTTGTAAATTTGTATCGTTTATTTATGACATCATGAAATTATCCATTTGACACAAATGGTAGAACTACTTACCACCCACCTAGATGAAAAATATGTTTCATTTCTATGTTTATTTAAAAAAAATAAAATTTCATTCTATTAATAATTATTGTGTAAGGATTTATTAGTGGAATTTAATGATGATAAACAAAAGTATAAATGTTGGATTCAATAAGAGAGAATGTGAAGTATTTAATGACTTAAATGTAAGACTTAATGAGAGATAATTGAATGTACTTTATGGTATTCTTTTAATTACATTTTCTGCCCTTTCAATAGAGATGAACTAAATTCAAGATGAGGGGTATTTCAGTCAAAAAAATCCAGAATCATGAAGATAATGATTCTTGAGGAAGAAGATAAATAGGTATAAATTTAAGAATCATGAACTAAATTCACCATCATATTGCTTTGGTTCAATCTTGGTTCTTGAGAAAGAAGATAATGAACAATGTCTTATTTCAAAAGATAATTTTGACATTTTTAAAAGTTTTAAGTTGCACATATCACCGCATGATACAGATAACTGACAAAATGCTAATGGCAAAGACTAAATTGAGACATTTTGGAGTTAAGCCTAGGCTAATGGATCGAACCCTACTTGCACCTGACTTGGTGGAGACCACTTTCCAAACAGCCTAGGCTGTTGTGGGAGTAGGAATGGCAATGGGGCGGGGCAAGGACGGGGAGCCTCTCCCCATTTCTGTCCCCGCGAAAATCCCCATCCCGCTAATAGAGACAAGGTTATCCCCATCCCCATCCCCGTGGAGATCCTTATTCTCAATTAATTTTTTTGTAATATCAACCATTTTGTTTTTATTTTTTTATTTTATTTAAAAATATAAAAATAAAATAATTAAAACTTTCAACCCTATTAAAAAAATTTAAAGATATTCAACTATAGTTTTTAAAATATTAACATATAAACATAAATATATATATATATATATATTAATAGAAATTCCATTGGGTGGCAATCAGATCCCCATGGTAAAGAGACTGCTCTCCCCATCCCCGCCCAATCACTACGAATAAAGATGAAAATTTTCTCATCTCTATACCCCACCCTTGAAGGAATCATCCCCGTCACCACGGGAATCGCCATCCCTCTATCGGAGTCTCTGCACATGAGACCTTAGCTAATTGTGTTTTCAATTAAGAATGTATTGAATGTAAATATTATTTTACCGCTCCCTCGGCTTACAAACAGCGAAGGGGCTTATCCCCCGTTGTATAGCTCAATAAAAGCAAAAAAAAAAAAAAAAGTGCAGAGGGAGAGAGTACAAGTCACGGTTCCATGGAACAGCTTTCAAAGTGTGATGGTGACTGGGCATTCGCTGGACAGCTGTCTGACCTTACTCTCTCATCCATCAATGCTTCGTCCTTCTCACTCCTCCCTCCCACACAGCATGCATGCATGCCAGTACCACCACCACTACCTTTCTAAGCGCCCTTCCCCACATGGCCACATTCCACTCCTCCTCCTATGCAGCACCCTTACCCAAACTAAACAAACTTTCTTTATCTCCAACTTTTGAGCATTTCTGACGTAACCTTTCATCGTCTCCATTGTCATTCTCTGTTCCTGCTTGGACAGACTGCTGATTAGGGTTAGGGTTGATTACTTGGGTGTGCGTCTCGAGATCGGCTTCAATCAGTGCAAAACCCGTTCGAAGGATACACAGCTTTTACAACCTTACACTGGGAATATCTCCGTACGAAAGATGTTCGAACGGGTAGTACTGACCGAAGCCGAGTTCGTGGATCTCTCTTTCTAGAATATCGCGTAGGTCCACCTGATATCTGTCACTTGCGCTTTGTGGCACCTTTGATCTGGAATATCGCGTCCCCTTACATAACATTGCGTTTCCTATATATTTTGCAGTGTAAATCAGATTTGCATTGAGACAAATCCGTACTTCTCCGCATATTATGTTTTATTACATTGTCGCTCCTCGCCTGACGCCAGCTTTTATGAATATATTATATATACATGTAGAAATGATAGCATACATCGAGTTTCTGGAATTCTTGGATACGTTGCAAAGTCGATACGATGGTTAGGCCTGGGGAGTGGGCCTTACACCACATTGCAGCCGTATATTGTAAACATCTTTTTAGAGCAAATCCGGATTCTCTCGTGGGCCTCTCTGCCACTGCCAGTATGCTTGCTATTTCTTGCTCATTACTGGTGGGGACAATTAGTTAACCCATCACGTCAACCTTCGCGTTTTGGCCCCCAAAGCCCAAAGGCCCAAACCCTAAAAATTTGTGTGTGGTCCACACTCCACAGTCCGGTGTGTCAGTTGAGCAATTTGAAAGTTCTAGGAACATTCTCCGAGGCAAATAAATGTTAACGGCGTCTCTAGCTAAAAAGCAACGTCGTCGGTCAAAACAGTTCTCCATCTGACTCCAACTCAACCCATGCATTGTAGATTATTTGGAGTATCTCTCTCTTTCCATCATCTCATCTCTTGTTCAGTTGTTTGAAATGGACAAAGGTGAATTAAATTTCATTTTAGCTTTACGTGATTAATTAATAGATGTTAGGTCAAGATTTACATGATGAGAAAAGATAGATATACTATACTATCGTGAATTCGCAATATCTCGTAGCTTTTAATGTTTTTTTGTCCGCTATTGTGCGAATGTTGGAAACAGAGGAAGCAAACGCATAAGGGAAACTAACACTAGAGGGGGGAGAGAGAGAGAGAAATTTTGTGCGTCAACGAGTTCTGCAGTTTCAAGCAGTTTGCAGGCTTAAAAGTGGTTTTGGGTTCTAGGTTTCTTTCCTAATCTTATCTAGTTATCTTTCTTTCATTTTTTGTTGTTTGTTGGTTTAATGGAAAAGTTAAATGTGGTTTTCTGATCATGGAGACAGATAGCAGTAGAGGTAGCGAGGGCTTTGTTGCAGACATGGCAGCAGTATTGGAACCGGAGGAGACTGGTGGCAATAGGTCAGGTCTGAAGTTGCAACGTACCGAATCTTTACCTCATAAGATGATCACGACGACGGTGCATCCGCACCATCATAGTCGTACATTCCCTTCTCCCCTGACTGAGAGCGAGAGCGGTAGAGGTGGTGGGGGTGGGGTTAGTGGTCATGGCCCCACCTTTTATAGGAGAAGCAACAACGGGATCAGGTCTATGAGCGATATATTCGATGCCGTTGCTGGAGGTGGTGGTGCGGCTGCTGCTGCCGCTGCAGTGGCAAGGACTCTGCAGCCTTTTAACTCCACTGCTTTCAAATGCCCAGGTCTGTTGGTATTTTCCCTTCTTCATGTCAAATTCAAATCAATACTCGGAGAGTTTTTAGTTTTACAAGTTGGTATTTTCTCTCTCTGAGCGCTTTTGTGTCTTTCTTTTGTCGAGAGAACAGAGGGGTTATGTTTTTTATAAGCGACACAGTTTAAAAAGTAAAAAGAAATAAGGGAAAGGAGTAAAGATGATCTGTGGCTCTTCAAAGAGTATATACATCATTTGAGAATGTGATTTTCTGTGTATACAGAAGGGATGGCTGCATCTCTGAGGTTCCCTTTTACATCGGCTCAGTGGCAGGAGCTTGAGCGTCAGGCTTTGATCTACAAGTACATGATGGGTTCTGTAGCTGTTCCTCCTGATCTCCTCATGCCCATTACCATAAATCTCTCAGACCCTGTTGTTTCCCATTCTACCGGTAATGCCCTTTTCTTTTTTAACTTCTTTTCTCGTCGTTGGATTTGCTTATTTTCCTGATTCCTTCGTATTCGTATGATTTTGTAATCTTCGAAGGGAGATGTCAATTGGCTGAGATTCTCCTTGAATTTTAAATTGCATTTCTTGTCGTGCTGCTCCTCTTGTATTATACTGTCATGATTTGTTTATTTGTAACAGCACTTAACATCTTTCCTTTTCCTGATTATATATATATATATATATATGTTTCAGGGGGTCGAGGTCCTTGTTTCAATCTACGATTCTCCAACAGCACAGATCCTGAGCCGGGGAGGTGCCGAAGAACAGATGGGAAGAAGTGGCGGTGCTCAAGAGATGTGGCGCCTGATCAGAAGTACTGTGAGCGGCACATGCACAGAGGTCGCCCCCGTTCAAGAAAGCCTGTGGAACAGCAACCCGAGTCCAACAACCTCAACACGCGCTCACCAGCATCTGCTTGCCTTTCTAATCTCACAGCTAATACCAACAATAACCCTGAATCTTCTTTGTTTCTCTCCAAGGTGTCTCCCTTCCAAATTAATATCTCTTCGTCGTCGAACAAGGACCCCAGGTGAACTACTGTATGGTTATGCTTTCGCTTTCTTTTCCCTAAACAAATTCTGTTTTCTTGACATATATATATCTTGTCTCCTTTTGCTGCTTAAAAGGTGCGCGGAGTGGATGGCGAAGGGGGAAGCTGTTTCTCTTGCTGCATCTGATCAACAATTGCAGCAATTTATGAACTCCAAAGTAGGATTGAGGACGGAAAACAATACATGCAATGCCTCTTTAGCCTCGTTAGATGGATCGTCGGTCTGCAACCAGAGACAAACACCGAGACAGTTCATCGATGGCTGGTCAACTGCAACAAGAGAAAACATAACAGACACCAGCGGCAAGTCCTCTGTTTCTTTAAATGGGAAACTCTCACTGTCTTCTCTATCCTTGTTCATGTCTGGTGGGAGTGGGATAGGGGAAGAGGTGGATCAGATCAACATAGGTCTTGGGGTTATGGATCCTGAACGTGACAATGGTGGAGATATTGCTAAGACTCAACCTTTAAGCTGGATGAACCCTGTTTTATGGGTGCCTTCTTCTCCACCAGGTGGACCTTTAGCCGAAGTCTTACTACCCAGCAGTGCTGCCTCTCCAAGTGTAGGATCGAATGTAGCCTCTCCTCCAAGTTGCTATAGAATCACAGGAAATAATAGCTCATGTGGTGGTGATCTTAATTTGATGAGCGACGGTTGGGGCGTCAGTAGCGATGCCAGTAGCCCTCGGGCAACAAGCGTTTCATCTCCGTCTTGTGTCGTGCAGAAGGCCCTCGCATCCCTCTCAGACAGCAGTGGTTGCAGCAGCCCCACGTTTACGACCGGTGTGCCCAAGTCAGAGATTGCACTCCCGTGGTTGAACTTGAACCAGAGCAACTAACCATCTCTGTTAGGGGGAAGCAGAGGGTTTGTCTTTTCCCCACCTAAAAGAGGTGTTTCTTTTTCTTTTCGCTTTTATTTACTTGTTATTCTCGCTTAATAGGATCTTTTGAAATTGAAACATTGATGCACCGTAATTATTGTTCTCCCTTCTTTTTTGGGTGGAGCTGGGAGAGGGTGTTCCTTCAAATTTGTATGCGAAAGTGGCGAAAATCAAACTCCGGCTGCCTATGTTGAGGACAACTTCTGCCGTTCTGCGTGACTGACTGACTCTGGCCTCTAAGATTGTAATGTCTATTATGTTATTAGCGAATTGGGATCTTCTACCAACTTGATCTGACACCCCACATCTCACCATAACTAAACTGAATAATTTTGATAAATACCAATAAAAGAGGTTCCACCATCTTCTACCAACAAAAGACGTTCCAAGCCCCAAGCTCGGACTGAACTGAATTTTGATGAATACCACCGTTTTTTTTTTCAGATGAATACCAGCTGAATAGTCACCACTTTTATGGCACCGGTCGAACCCGTTTTTCAAATATCACGCGGTACTCCATCCCTCAAACCCATAAAAGAAAAAAAAAAAAGGAAAAAAAACTCTTCTGAGTGTCGCAGTTTCTTTCGGTGTGAAACTCCTTTGAATTAGAGGTGCGTAATGAGTTTCAGGCTGTAAGCAAACGCATTTCAACCACCTAGTTTGTCATTTTTGGCTTTTGCTAAAAAGAACTTAAAATGTTTCCAGAATTTCTTCACTATCTTTAATTAGTTTCGAACCTGTTCGATACAACATTCACCAAAAAGACCCTCTCCCTATAAAACTGTAGAATTAAAACGATTTGACATTTTTTTTCGAGACCCGTTGATGGGGATTCCAGATCACCTGTCCATACAAATTCTGCCCACGTTTACCTATTTAACATTGCAATTACATTATAGTATTATGCAGGGGGATTAAATATTCTCTATATGTGATTGCAATGTTATGTGGGTAGACATAGACAGAATTTGTGTGGGCAAGAGATTCAGACTAGTTCATGGGTGGGCTTGATCTACATTTTGCCAAAATTTGAATGGTATTATCCCAAACCCAAAGACCAAAGCCCGGTCTGTGAATGGGTCTATTCTTTTCAGACCTAGGTTCCTTATGAAATGAATGAAATTGATATATTTTCTAAATTAATATTTTGTTTGTATTCTGGTTGCATCTAAGATGACTGAAAAATTAACCATATTTCAGAAAGTGTATAGTAATTGTTTACAACTTAGCACATTTTAAGTTGTACATTTTACATGCAACTTAGCACAGACCTAAAATAAGGCCTCATTACTCATTTTTGGGCAAGTTACTTGGTTTAGTATTTCCCACATAATACATACATGAAATTTAGCAATGTAAGATAGCTGTCTATCATACTTGGTTTATTATAATGGGCAATTTTGTCCGCTGGTGTTTTGGCATCACTTTCTCAGGTTAGAAATACCCAAGGGAGAGTTGTTTTATTGTGAGACCCACACCTATCAAAAAAGAAAAAGAAAAATGAATGCACCTTGAAAGGTTAACCCGACTTTTTCAAAGAGAATTTTTATTCTTGGGCTTCAAGACGAGTTCTGGAACTTAATTACAAGTAATTGGAATATGAGCGTAGGTGGCTTTGCTAGTTCACTTTTGAGAAAAACACTCAGATGAGGTGGAAAATCAGGACCAGTTGGGAAAACTTATTAGATAGAGAACTAAATTAAGGTAAAAGGAGTCCTTCTTGGTCCGACCCAGTCCACAAATTTTCGGGCCCAGGCCCAAACCCGCATCAAGCCTGGAATATTATGGGCTGGGCTGGGCTTGGGCTCAACACTTGAAGCCTGGGACCAGCACAACCCGCAATATAATATAGTATACATGTATCGATACATATAACAATACTCAATGGTTGTCCTCCTAAACAAACCTTTCATTCTCATTCCCTAAATAATGTGAGACTTGAAAAAACATTAACTATTTAGTATTATTCCAAATTCTACATTGTCTTGTCTTCCTCTAGGTAAGTCAAAGCAAGTAAAGCATTTAAATGATGCCTATGACTTATTTTTTGTGCTATAGCCTAAAAGGCTCCCGCTAGTTAGATCAGTTGTTTGGGCAGGCTGAGACTCAATGTGTTTTGAATATTCATATTTATAATATATGTATAATATTATATTATAAATAATAAATAATATATAATATACTATAAATATTTTAAAAATATATAATATATTTATAAATAAATCATTATAAATATAATATAAGTATATATTTATATATGTAATGAATATATATTTATATATAATACATAGAAAATATATGACATATTAAAAATATATATATATAATACACACACACACATATATATATATATATATATATATATATATATATCAGCCGGTTCGGTTAACTATTGGTTTTTTTGTAGATTAACCAAAAAACAAACCAATTCTTTGGTTTTTCAAAAATCTCAAACCGAAACCGAACTGATCAATTCAATTAATCGCATTTTATGATTCGATTTTCTCGATTCAGTTCAATTTTTTGGTTTTTCATGAACACCCTACCCTAGCGCTTGGTTGGAAATTTCATATATACTAAAACTAAATTGGCAGACTGTAGTTTGAATATTGACTGTGGTTGCTCTTTGTGTGATCAGGGGAAAGGAAGAATCCATTCTTCATTTGTTTTGCACACATTTGTCCCTTTCTCAAGCTGTCTTTTTTTTTTTTTTTGCTTCCGCGTGGGGAATTAGACTTCCATCATCTCGGGTTAATTTTTTTGGTTCTTGCTCTTTATTTTGTGTGGAGTAGCTGCTAGGAATGATTTGATTTTCAAGAATGTTCATACTGTTGTCGGTGGGTCTTAACTTCTGTCTCTAGAATTTTTATAGAGTTGAATGGATTTGCTACTATTCCTCCAATGAATGATAAAAAGTTAGTAGGATGATTTTTTTTTGGCAAGACCTGTAAGTGCGGAACTGTTGGCTCTTCAGTTTTATGTCCTCCTTCCCTCTCTTGAGATATTTCTAGTCTTCTGGACAGTTTTAATGCTTTGAAAGTCCTTCAACGTTGTTCAGTTTAGTTTTATTTCTAGATCGATGAATAGGACTGCCCATAGATTGACTCAGCCAGCCAAGTTTCTTTTACGTTGACTCTGTTTATCAAACAGTTTGTTTCCACGTTCTATACGTGTTTTAATCTTTTAATTTTTAAAAATAATAAAAAAAAGAACAGGTCATTATTTTCACCACCCTTTCCAATTTTAGAAAAAAATTTCGATTAATATCTTGTATTTTAGGCCTAGTGTCATTTTGGTCTTTTAAACTTTAAAATATGACAATTCAATACCAAAACTTCTAAAACATGCGAATCCAGTATCTATTGTTAACTAACTATTAATAATTTTACGACACGGCTCATACCCTGGCATGATTTACAACTCCAGGGAGATTGGGATGTGATTTGGGGCCAAGCGAACTCGGTAAAAAGATGATCAGTTAAAACCTTAAAATTTTAGTACTGTTCAAGCGTTAAAGCCTTGTTGTGATAAGAGTGTGCACCAATGCGCTCTAGAACCCTTAAACTATTGCAGACAACCGATCAAACAGGGTGTCAATATCCTACAGTGGAAAATTCTTTGAGATGAGTTAGACGTAGATTAGACGTATCGCAGGAAGGGTTCAAAACATCTCAAGCATGCCAATGAACCTTTTCTTTTCTTCAAGGGATTTTTCTTCTTTTTCGTTGATGAGCTAACGGCCTTTATTAATATATATGAATCCATTTTGGAGCCAACCAGTTGCTTAGTTGTCAAGATAGTTTTGCGTGCAGTGTGAATCATCATTATTTCGAAAAAAGTTTAATTTTCGTTATTCCATTCCGTTCGGAATCAAGTTCATGCCCATCGTTAAATTGCGAGCCGTTGAATCATAATTTTACCACTTCCAAGTTCCAACCCAATGTTTTGTTTTCTTCCCTGAATCTGACAATATTGATTTGATCATCATAGTGGTGTTCATTTTGTGTTTTGAGTGAAGAGAAAGGAAGAAAAGAGTGGACTTGGACTTGGGCATGAAAAAGGAAGAGTAGGTCTACTATAAGCTTAGAAGAAGAAGAAGTTTTTTGTCCCCCATTAGTGCCCCTTCCATATCCATAATGGTCTCCAACCTGTATGAAGTGCCCTCCATATATAGAAAATCAAGAAGCATAAAAGCTAACAAATTAATTAAACCAAAGGGAACTACTGAAAGCTAGAAAACACTATCAGCGTCAAAGTCTGGCAATACTAGAGGCTTACAAAGAACATCGACAAACCCTTCCCCCACGCAAAACAAAACCCATGGCCGCAGCCACATGGGCCTTCTGATTATAGGACCTGTAAGCGAATCAAATAAGCTACTATAATGTATGAATTCTCATGATACATAAGGTGTTGTGGATTCACAAGACCTTGTGAATTTTTGATACAGATCGACTTTGTCTGTACCTGGTCTTCTCCACCAGACTCTGTCTGGTCCTTGGTACTGGATGAGATGTTGTCTTTTAATTTGGTTGAATGAATTTGCCTTTTAGGCTTAAAAAATATTAAACTTTCTATCAGGTCACATAATCCCACCACCAATCCCCTGTAACCATTGGTTTTGCTAACTCTTTCAATCGGTCAAGAGAATTGTTAATTCAAGCTTCTCAAGTGGGTTCTCTGGGCCTTCGCCATTTGTCTACACTTGATAAACCCGTTCTCTCATAAGTTCAGAAGTGTGTCATAACTTTGTGGTCTCTACTGTTATAGTCGAGTTCGAGAGTTACTATTATGTCTGTCAGCCATCATTCCATCTCCTCCGTTGTTCAATTCACTGAAAGCGAAAACCCTAGTCGAATTGATGAGGTCATGTGAAACAAATAAACCAGCTAAGCAAAACTGAAACATAAGACCAGTACTCGATTATCGATCGGTCCTGACTCGTGACAGATTCTATCTTCAAGTCCACACAAAGGCAGCAAACGAACTGGAATTCTATAAATGAAATCCCTTGAACCAGCTCCAATTACAGGGAACGAATGGTGACAGGTTTTTGTATTTATCAGAGGTTAAAATAACTACAAGGCTTTGCAACAGAGGAGGGCTTTTTAAGTTCATGCGTCAGTTGTATGCAGTCTTCTGTTGGATGTGTAATCATGCAATTTATGTACCAAACGATGAATCATGAATCATTTAAGTTTAAGGCCGTAACCCAGGACATTACTCTCACAGAATTTGGGAAGTAGTCCAGTCCGATTGCTTGTTACCTTGTTGGTTTGTTTTGTTTGTTTGCGTCTATGGCTTTGGGTGGTGGGTTACAGTAACTATGTTTCTTCCATAGACAAATACAAATGAGGGCATCCGTAGACTTCTGATAAGAAAGTTATTGGGATAAAAAGAAATAACCACCATCATCTATCATCAAATTCCATCATAATTACCAAAAAAATGGAAAAGAAAAATTAATTAAACACTTACGCATCGCAGTCACAACTGCAGTATCCTTGTTCATGGGAGCTAACAACCATCCAGCGAATTCACAGTAATTAAACTCACCTCAACCACCTCCTAAGGTCACTGGTCGAAGACGGAGATATTTCGCCACCCAAACTGTCCGTACAACAGGAAGACAAGTTCGATTGTTGCTCCATCCCATAATAGCCTCCTCCCTGGACGCTCTTAAAGCTCGGGCTCCTTAAATTCTGGCTGAAAGCCCCGGCACCACAGCCGACACCAACACCGCTGTATGGGTCTGGAACTGGAAACGAAAGGCGTTTCTTAGCAGACCCAACTCGTTCTCTCTCCGGCGTCGATGGCCGCTGCCTTGGGGCACTCTGAGACCGAACTCGGGCCTTGGCAGACTCCGTGGCTGCCATGTAATTCGGCATCGAACCAGTGCCAGTCCCACCATTTGCACCCATATGGTGACGCGTACCACCACTGTAATAGTAACTCGAGCCTAGGCTCGGAGTATGCGCTGTTGGATAACATCTCTCTTCTCTTGGGCAACGAGGGCTGGCCGAGCGTACTTGTAGTGGCCTTGTTTTAGATGGAGAAGGCGTGACAGGGGACTGGAGAAGGGAATAATTGTGGTGTGCTCTGTGAAGGGGAGACGCCGCTGAATGTATACTAGGTTGTTGCTGATGGTGGTGTTGTGATCTTCGGATGTTTGGAATAGAATAAGAAAAAGGACGAGAGGTGTCGATTTCTACGGTTTTGATCGGATCCCTTTGATCCGTAGAAGCTCTTCCCCTGCTTTCCCATGGTTTTGCAGCCATCCACCTATCCAGCCATTTTGGTCTCTCTTCGAGTTCTTCCTCGTTGCCGATTGATGAGTTCCGGCCGGATCTCCATATCTTGATATGGGTATCATCAACACATTTGCAAAGGTGAGATGTACAGGATAAATAGATTAATGGACAGAGAGAGAGATATGAACCTGATGGGAAAAGGCGTAAGCGAGTGCTTTCTCACGTTTTAAAGAAGCTTCCTTTTTGCTCTGCAGCATGGCTTGTATCTCCTCAACTGTATGCGGGCGGTCATCCCAATCCCCGGCAATGCTACTTCCATCTCTCGACTGAGAATCTCAGGAGCACCATTAACGTTCAGAACATTCCTATTGTTTGGCATAAAGTCTAACAAAACTCAGATAAACATACTTACGACTGATTTCCTCTCGGCGATATCCTGAAAATATCGTGATTCCCATAAGCTGTTGGTGTCACTAAGTGTGGACATCCTGCTTCCTTCTTGAGAAAGCCTCATACGTTGATCGCGCACCCGAGCTTGCACTCGGACCAGAGCTTGCATGCAGCGGAGAGTCATCTTCGCCTGCTTCCGAACGTTGTGTCCTCTCACTAAAGCTTGCAACTTCACTAGCCCTTTAAGCGCTCTAAGTGCTCTTCTTGCCTTTGGCAACCACGAAAAAATCAGTTAAAGTCGATCTCACCGGAGAAGGAGAATGCTTGCTAGAATAGTAACGAAAGCCCATATATTTTGTTTCTTTTCTTTGCCATAACTTACCAGATATCCTCTGAAAGCCGTTTGAATAACAATAGCAGCGCAATGTTCTCTAACAAAATTAGAAGGCCTRGTGAGCCGGACCACCTCCACGGCTGCTTGGGCCGTCGCCACGGCAGCCTCTGCGGCTGCTGCGGTTGCTACTGCCACGGCAATGGCGTGTCTTTGTTCGGCAGCGGCTGCAGCTGCTGATACAGCAGGATTCATCGTTGTAGGAGTCGTAGTCGTGGTGATAGAAGGAACGGCAGCAGCAGTTGTCGTACTCGTAGGCTTCGTGGGCGTGCTCGCCGCCGTCTTCGCTTCGCACTGGTGTATTATTGATTCATGGGTCGAGGGTTTCCGAAAAATCCATCTTCTCTTCTCCCTTTTCTGTGGAGACCAAAAGCGGATGCAACGTTAATGGCACACACACACACAGACGCCTAATTGGAGGAATAGACAGAGGAAATCGAAGAGAACAAAAATAAGAAAAAACGAAAACGGACCTTTTCTTCTTCTTCTTGGTCATGATCTTCTCTCCTTCGGCCACTCCGCTTCTCGTTTTCTTTGGTAGGAGACCGGAAAGCCCTCTTCACTACAGTCAACCACGAGGTTCCTGCCTTCTTCCCCATAGAAAGAAAGAAGCAAACTAGACCGCATTTACAGCAGACCCACCAAACCCACCAGGATCAGAGAAGAATGGATGAGATGGGAGTTGCTGTTACTTTTGAGTTTTGAATGATTCCACCACCTTTTTAAATTTTAACCGTAAAAGGAGCGGAGAAAAGAAAGAGAGAAAAGAGGGAGAAGGGAGAGAGGGGTAGGGACAAGGTCTGCGACGTACGTTTTAATCTGTAATGCACTGCAGCTACAGATTATGAGCTCCGATTTAAGCGTAGGTGTTTTTTTGTGGCATGGAAACACTAGTGGAAGTGTCAGAGAGGGTGTCAACAACTTTGCATATAAAATTCATGACCGTAGGAGAGAGGTACTGCGTGGTGGCTGATCTCGAGGAAGTCGATAGCACAGAGAGAGAGGGTGGGAGAGTTTCAGTCGTGGCGGAGAAACCCGAGAAGTCTCTTTAATGGTGGGGCTTTTTCGTAAAGCTCTTGTATTCAAAACAACTGACGAATTCTCATGGCATCACGTGTCGGGAGCAGTTAAAGGACGGGAGTGAGAGGGAGAGAGAGAGTGTGTGTTGGTCTCGGAGTCCGGTGACTAAGGTAAGAGCTCAGACAGGTTTCATTGTCCTCGTAGACCGCCACCAGCTTAGGCATTTTAACCAGGACCTGTTTTTCGGTAAAAGAGAGATGTGGCTCCAGTTCCCGGTGGATTGGTCAAAACTAAAATAGAGAGAGAGAAGAGAGATTCCCAAATCTTGTTTGAATAAATATGATGAATATGGTGACCTCAACCTCAATATTCCTCCCTCCCCAATGTCCAACCCCATCTACTCTTTTTTATTTCTCCTTTCCCGCCCTCTCGAGCTTTTATTCGGGTTTTACCTCCGCGTGGTGGACCCTTTGTTTTTGTTATTTGCAGGTCCACTGCTTTTAGTTTTATCCACCTCTTTGTTCTGCCTCCCTGCTTGCCTTTTATTTATTTCATCGCCATCAATATCAATTTGCCATGTGGCACAGTATTACTGAGTAAAAGCTTGACACCTGGAAGTTCCGATTTGATACAATGCCTCTCTACAGGCTGGCACATGCTCAAGAATAAATATATAAACGTTCTTGGTCACCGTTCTTGAATTAAAAATTATGTGAATATGAGCTGTGAGATTTTATATTAATTAAATTGTTACTGTTACTTTAATAGATTAGAGATATATACATTTTCATATTTCACCATATAATATACGAACAGGCTGAACTGTAAGGAAGCATTCTACAATGAGGTTAGCGCACTGTTTATTTTATTTTTGTGTAAGGGCACTGCACTTTTTAAAATGGAATTAAAAGGAATCACACATCTCATTATTAAATCAGTAACAAAGTTCTGAGCTATTAGAAAAGAATATTGAATGTACACTTTTAAGATGAAATACACGATTATAATGGAGCCAATGTTTTAAAAATTAACCCAAAAGTAAAACCGCTGATTTTTGGGTCAGCGGTTCAACCATTCAGTCAAATAAATTAACCTGTGACAAAAATATAACATTACCCAAAAACCGTTGCCTGAGTCATTCGGTTTAACAGTTAATGGAACCGGTTGGGCAATTGGTTTATGGGTTCGAATGTGATACTGGAAAACCAAGATAGAGAGATGGATAGATATATAGGCTGGAGAAATCAATATGAATCTGAATAATACTTAAAAATAAATATTTCAATCATCAATCGGTAGAAAGTACTGCCACATAAGCCATATTGTTACATGAAATCAAGGTTTAAAATTTCGATAAGATATGCTTGATTTGAGACGTACCGTATCGTATCTTTGAAAAATAAATACGATATATGCATTAAAATCGGGCGTCTCATCTTTTTTTATGCGTATCCGACCTGTATTGGAGCGTATCAACGAAAAAGATACGGCCGAAAACTGAAAAAAAAAGGGGGAAATTAAGTTTCTTTTTCCTTAAAATAATGCTTCTTTCACCCCCAAATGACTCTAAAACTCCAAACATCATTCCTAGAGTAATGGATTTATAAAAATTTGCAAGAAACAAGTGTGAATCGTTAATTTTTTTGAATATTTTTCAAATTTTGAAAAAATATGGCAAAAATAGGTAAGTTTTTTTTTTTAMAATATCTTGTGATTTTTATTTTTTTCTTGAATGTTTAATGTATGTTGATATACATTTCTTACATTCAAAATCACAATTTTTTTGTGTTATTAGTAGATTTATGGAAATTTCATGAAGATATTTAGGGAAAAGATAAATTAATAAAAAATTTGAAAATATAATTTTTTTTCTCTACCTATAAAGACTAAATATGTTTTAGATCCATGGATTTATCTATCATATCCATAGAGCAATTGAAATTTATTCTTTAATATTTTTTTTTTTATTTTTTATATTCTTATAATTAAAAAATAAATAATAATTAATTATATTTTATTATTTTATTACAACAATTGAATATATTATAACTCTATGGATGATCTGTCATATCCACAAACCAATTGAAATTTCTTGTTTAATAATAATTTTTTTTTATTTTTATATTTTTAGAATTAAAAAACAAATACGTAAATAATTATATTTTATCATTTGATCACAATGATTGAATATATTATAATTCTATAGATGATCTATCATATCCACAAAGCAATTGAAAATTCTTCTATAATAACTACTTTTTGAATATATTATATAATATTTATTTATTTTTTATAATTTTTGGAAATAAATAATAAATAATAATTATTTAAATAATACATAATTATTAATTATATTTTCACTTAGAAGTTGTGACAATGCATGTTTTATGGATGGATAGGAAAGTTTGGTTTTTCCCATCCATAAAACATTAAAACTTAAGAATTATAATTTATAAATTATAGTTAAGCATAAGATTTTTAATGAAGTTATAATTAACTATAATATATTTCTTCATAAAACCTTTAAAATATATTAATTTAATATATATACACCTCATTGAGGTCTTATATTTAGTGTTGTTGATGTATTTTTATGATTTATTAAAGTATTTATAGTGTTTCCAAGCGTATCTATACATATCTTAGTTTTTCTCCAATATGCATATGTATCCAAGACATATCTTGATACGTCTCTTAAAATTACCTTCCGATAGAATTGACATTTTCGCTACTTTGAGCCTTGCATGAAATTTAGAATTCTCCTCACCTAATGGAGAATTTTCTTCGAAGAAACTTTTGTCAATACCAAAAAGAAAAAGAACTCAAAGTAGCGCCCACTACACGGGAAACCCATGTCTATGTGAAAAAGGCTAAAGAGGTACAGACTCCTAATGGCCCCAGTTGGAAACTGATCTAATGACTCTTTCCTTGCTTTAATTCACCAGCAACATCAGCAACTCTTTAATCTTTATTCTATTTGAAGGAATAACACAGATTTATATAGCAAAGCATATCCTTTAAAATGATGGAATTAGATTCTAAACGAGGGGGTTGTCATGCTCCGGGCATTTCAATGATTTTTTTTTTTTTCTCTTGATCAATTACTGATTTTTATTATGTATATATGTGTGTATATATACTTTTTTTTGTATTTAACACAACACGTTAACTTTTCAACATCAATAAAAATAACAGGACTCAAATTTGCGACTCTGCTAGAACAATCCAGCTAATACGTCAACCAGCCACCTCTTAGTTGGCACCATGAATGTATGAATCGAAGTCCAACAAATTATTATCATGATCGAATTTGTGAGGAAAACAAATTAGAGGAATTAATGAGTTGAGAATATTCTGAGGATTGAATTCTAAGAAATAAAAATATTTATATACTTGGAGAGTATTTGATTTGTATTATGTTATATGCCTGACCAATATACTCCATAGAACATTAAGACGATTGAAACACATCAAGCCAAAATCTTTAAGCAGGACCTTCTATAGTATTTTTCTTATTAATTTGAAAAGAATGTATATACAAATATATTTAGTGCAAAATTTAAGTATATTGTATTTCTAAATTCTATATTTATACAGTATATATTTGTATTTGCACTCATTTCAAATCGAACCTACTGGGTGATGTCATGACCAACCTTTTGACAATGACCACTAAAAGGATAATCGGTTAGGCCGTGGCCGTGAAGATCGTTCTCTTCACTGTTTAATCCTAAACGTCCATTGAATTGAATGACAGTGATCCCATGGTTAGAAACAATTTCCACAATTCCAATTATACCCTTGATAAATGCCATAAATAGGGTTCACATCATGTCATTGGAACTCAACTAGTAATTTCATTTCTCTACACTCTTGAAGTGTACAGAGATGTAGGAKTGTATTGAACTCGTGTTACTATAATTTCTTTTGTTCATGTGAGGATCGAGCACAAACTAGTGTACAGAAATATCATAGACTCATAGTGGTGTATGTATTCATTTGTGATTGGGTCACATAATCCGCAATACACAGCAGTGCAAACAACATATCCAGGCTGTTCTGAATGCAGCTTTCGCCCGTATGGATGAGACAGTTAACGGGTTAGTGGCGGAGTGAACTAAAGGGGGGTGGGGTCCACCGACAAAAATAACGTGGAAGGAGTGCTTATCCATTTAAGATGGGGTCATTGTGTTGGTTTACGACCTGATGTGATCACGAATTAGGGCAGCAACTTGGACTGTTGGACATGCTCCTTCCGAGTTCCAAATCGGACACCCGAGTTGCACCACTATCATGAATGATGTTCAGATTCCAGAACCGGAAGCATAAGGGGAAATACTTTTGCGGGGACCAAAGAAAAGTTTCTCATTGTAAAAGCTAAAAACAAAACCGGCAATAAAGGGAACAAATTCATCTTTGATGCTGTCCATACATAGTAGTAGTCCACCGGTGATGATTCTGTTATCCGTCACAAATATCTCGTAATTGAATGGAACCAGATCTACAGTTACGCACACAAATCATCTGCTGGCCATTTGGATAGGTTAATGGCGACCCAATAGTATGGTGGAGTTGGTCTAATGGCAATAAACCCTCAAACGCTGACGCTGCCCCACCACCGCGTAGTGAGACTTGCTTTATTTTATTTCATTACTTTTCTATTCCCCTCGGCATTTCTCTGGCCTTTCCTTGTATTCTTCATATGCTCCCCATTGTAAGGTTTATGTTTAAGCCTTTAAGGCATTAGCTATCGCGCATATAAAGACCATTGTACAGCCTTGCTTTGCTTCCTCACAGTAACAGTCTGTCTTCTTTCTCTCTCACCATTCAAAGTTTTCAATTTACTGCAGAATTATAAACGGGTGGGAAAGATTAATGAATGATATTTGTGGGATTTTCATAAAAATGAATTAAAAAAGAAAAATTACTGATTAGAATTTAGTACCCTTTAATTTGGGCCTAGTGCCATAACCAGCTATTAACGAGCCATTAAGTGGTATTTGAAAAAACACAAATGCCCTTCAAATGTCATCTAATTTTTTTATTAATTATCCAAATGTTGACAAAAAATTAACAATCTCAAATCTTTACTTCTTCTATTCAAGAAAGTTGGAGTCACGTCTCAATGGGCATTCTGGACCTCAACTTTATTGAATAAAAGAGGCAAGGATTTAGGACTGCTAATTTTTTTGTCAATGTTTAGATGGTTGATAAAGAAAATTAGATGACACTCGAAGGGCATTTTTGTCTTTTT